GACACTATATCTTTTGATAGCCGGGCACCATCAGCTTTCTTCACCACATTTGCTTATTCACCCACTTTGTCTTCAGCAGTTGTGTCGGGAAGGTGAGCATCATAGAATGCCAATTTAGTAGAAGAAAGTATTCTTGCATTGATGGAGTACTTGAGTGGAGGCCCAATGTCCTTCTGCTACCTTAATACTGAACCTATAAATATAGGCTCATAGATCTATTTCCCCATACTCAGCCATGGTATTTTCAATTGCCTCCTGTGCATGTGAAACTTGGACATTGAATAAAGAAGAATGACTAATACAGCAAATTTTCTTCAGTCTTCTTTATTCAATGCCAGAAAGAGGGAGTGACATATACATGGATATATTTACAGGTGAATGGAGTATCTTGGGGGGACTACACTAGCACCTCGTCTCACTGACTGCCTCTGTGGAAGAGTAGTGGGGGCGGGATTGTTCTAGAAATAGATAGCTAGAGACTGACTGGTTACCTTCTCGTGCGTTTTGAATTTTTGATTACATACTACTTTTTCAAAGAATGACTAGAAATAAGTCACCGTGTCTTATGTAGTTATAAATGGAGGCAGCTAATAATGGACGCTATAAGACATGTGACTTGAGGCTCCCCAGCCCAAAGGGATCATTGCCTAGAACAGTGGTTCTCAATCTTTCTAATGCCGTGACCCTTTAATACTGTTCCTCATGTTGTGGTGACCCCCCAACCATACAATTATTTTCGTTGCTACTTCATCACTATAATTTTGCTACTGTTATGAATCATAATGTAAATATCTGATATGCAGGATGTATGTTCATTGTTACAAATTGAACATAATTAAAGCATAGTGATTAATCATAAAACAATATGTAATTATATTTTGTGAAATATTTAGGTGTTTTCCAATGGTCTTAGGCAACCCCTGTGAAAGGGTTGTTCAACCCCCAAAGGCATCGCGACCCACAGGTTGAGAACCACTGACCTAGAGGTTTCTGTTTTGGCTTATAAACAATGTAACATGCTAACTAAATCAAAATTCACAATTATTTCTGTTTTTAAAGCCCAGTTGTGGAGGTAAGTGTGGGCAAGCCATACAATTCTCCATGTAACAAAGCATAAGTGAAGGAATGAAGGAATTGCCAGATTGTTCCAGGGCAAAAAAGAAAGTAGTTTATTGAGCTAGACAAGGAAAGTGCCTATTTGCTTTCAGAGTCACCTGGATCATCAAAGGTATATGTAACAGAATGGGAACCTTGGAATCAAAATTAATGAGAGACACAAGATTCTGATACAAAACATCTTCTCCTGAGGGCCTAGGGCACAGTGCTCTGCCCTCCGCCACAAGAATGATAAAGGGACCCGCGGTGCCACCACGCCCACTGCATCCCCATTGTGCCACACTATCCTCTTGCTCTCTCAGGTCTGACTAGCTCCACCCAGACTAGCTCTAGCCTCTTAAAATGTGACCCCGGCATCATGGGGCTTCCTCAGCACCACACGTCACAATCTCCACGGCAAGTGGAGACGATTTCATAGTGTGTAGGCTCCGTTTTGTCCCCAGCGCCTGACACCCAATAAATATTTATAAACCAGAGAGAAAACAGGAATACTTTAAATGGAACATCATTCAACAAATATTTTTTACCCACAATGTGCTGGCGACAGAGTGGTGGGCAGGATGCAACTGCACTTTCTGCTCATCGACAAGAATGAACAGCCATGGGGTCTGCTCTGGCTTGCAGGTAGAACTGCCCCTGTGAGTTTCTAACTCTGTGGAAGAGGAAAACGTCTTTCTCCCACAGAGCGGCTGGTGGCTTTGAACAGCTGGAGCAGCCCAAAGAGTGAGTCACCACTGTGCCGCCAGGGCACCTTCGGCTATGCGAGGGGGCTTCAAAAACTTTACAGAAAACCTCCAAGATCGTTCAATGCCATTTGTCCATGAACTTCTTGAAGGCACCTTGTCTGCATATATGTGTTAAGATACTTGATGATGAAAGAGGAATAAGTGATGGGGAGGTGAAAGAATAGATTGATGATTTATGAAAGAGCCCTAGTAACAGGATGAAAAATAAAAGATGTCCATATTTGGCAACGTTTTGACTAATGCTAATAGGCTAAAATATCAAGTCATTTATGTGGACAAACAATAACTCAATGAGCCAGGAAGACAATTTGCTTATTTGGGGTATCCTCTGTACTAGTCGATGGAACCTCAAGACATGTGGACCAGCAGATAACAGGATTCTTGGGTAACCACAAAGCCTATCTCACCAGAGGCATGAGAGCCACAAAGCTCAAAGAGTCAGTGGCAGTCCCATGGCAACCAGCCATTACAAGGTCACCAGAAGAGACCTTGGAAGCCACTAAGCTTCTGTTACCAAGAAGGAGCAGCTGGCCATTAGTTCATCCTTAGAAAGAATAAGAACCGAGCGGGGGGTCAGAAGAGTGAGAGGGAGGCAAAAAGAGTATTCATTTCTGCAGCAGCAATATTTCTGCAGCTACAGCTGCAGAAGAAATATTTCCTTCTATTGTTTGTGCTAGAAAAAGAAAAGGTCAAAGTGAAGTCCGAGTCTCTGCTGATCTTAAACCGTTCTTTGTTTTACAGCCTTCGGCTGCTTCCTGCTTTCTGAGCTAAACTGAGAGTGGGATTACTGCCACCACAGGCAGCTCCTCGTCCTTTTACGTCTCTCCAGAGCTCTTGTTCTTGGGATGTCTACTCTTTCTTGGTGGTGATGGTCGCCGGGTAGAAAGCCAGGGCTGCTCAGAGTAACGGGGCCCTGCTGCTTTGTTGTTGTCTCTTCCATTTAGGAAAAAGTCCAATGGTCCCGCAACCGGGTATTTTTAAAAATGTATTTTTCAAGATATGGCCTGAAGTATAAGTACCATGCAGGCGCTGGAGTTTCCAGACAAACATTATTTGAAAAAGATATCAAGGCTTCAGTT